CATGTTTAACCCCGTAATTCATCTTATCCACTGTGGTGCTTACCCGGGTAGTCGACAGCTTTCACACACCGAGCGCGATCGCGAACCCGGAGAATAGCATCGCTTGACCTTTGCCCTCCCACAGTGCATTGCACTGTCACTTGGGGCTGCACTATACCAAATACGCGCCCATAGAAAACAGTGCAAAATCGGACCAAAATAGCGCTGCCTGTTGACTCTTGTGAAGAGGTTGGCCTCTGTTTTTTTCAATGGAAATTCAAGATTATGGCCAGAAGATCATTTTTCGTTTCAATTTCATGGAGGTCGGCCATGAAAATTTACTTTATTCGCCTTTGAACGAAGATACCCCCCAAATAGTTCACACATCCAAAGTCAACCCGGAGAATCGTCTCAAGGCCGCCGTTAACCCCGAGATTGGTGGGTTAACCCACCTCCGGAGCAGGTTTAGAATTCACCCGGGTTAAGTGGGGTTTTGAGGCAGTTAACCTGGAGAATTTCTAACCCTGAGGAAAGTTGTGTGAACGCTCCAAGATACCCAGGTAATCTCTAGGTTAATTTTTTCATTAATCCCGAGCTTACCCGGGTAAGAGCACTGTGTGAAACCCGTGTAGCAGGGCTCAAAGTTGTGCTATATATGTTCTAGTAAATTAAACAACTTAAAGCCAAACAAAATAATAGTTGTGTTTCCTACTACAATGAAAAAAGATAGGTTGGGTGGGTAGTATCTTTTTTCTTCTTCTAAAGCTTCTGGGTCAATTAAAAAGTGATTTTGATGGTCTATGGTGTATTCCATCCACTGTTTTTTTCCGCGGATTCCTAACTTGAGGATCAGTCTTGTCAAAGCTTGTATCCAGGTCAGAGTCTCTTCGGACAATTATACATTTGTGATCACTGACATTTCAATAAGTTAATGTCCAAATTTTGTTTGAAGCTTGAACAAAACGATGCACATGGAGCACTTAAAACCTACGCCATGATGAATGACACAATAGCTTTATGCGCCCCACGCCATTTGTCACAAAACCCTCTATCGGCAAAAGCAAAAATATATAATAAGTTACAGTGGAGGTTGTTAGTTACTATTTCTGCTCATGCGCGATTGGCTTTAACGAGTCCCACTGACACATGTATGAATATTGATGTTTCATTGCTAGCCAATCACAACACGATGACCAGATGGTCCCTGGATGCTGTTTACACTTAAGGTTTGCACTTCAAGCTGGCCGCACAACAGATACGTATCACTGATTCACTGTACATGTGCAGTAGATTCACTCCCCTGCATTACGTACTCCAGTACTGTTCAGTGTCCTGGCCGCATGTGGCACACGAAACGC